AGCTTCAGTCTTCGCCCTGAGCCTTAGGCAGATCCTGGCCCTGGGGGCCCCCGGGCTGGGCCGCGCCTCCCCGGGTCCGCGCCCTCCCGCCCCTCGCGCCCCCTCCGGCCCCCGCGCCCCCTCCCCGCTCCCGCACACCCGCGATGCGCACAGTTGGCCAGCGCCCAGGCCTCCCTCCGTCCCGCACTGCGCCCGGGTCTCCGCCTCCGGTTCTCCTGCGGGGGAGCTCGGACTGCCCAGCAGAGCGCGGGGGTCCGCTGCGGTCGAGACTTGCCCGCACACCCCGTCGGGGAGAGGGTCGGCGGAAAGGGAACAGACTTGGGGGCACCGGGGCAAAAAGTCCTCGAACGGCCCCATGGGCCCCGCAGAGCTGTGCGCTCGCGGTCCCACTGAACGGGAAGGACCCGAGCGCCGGCCCCCGCATCCCATCCTTCTCTGGCCTCGGTCACCCCCGCTCCCCCTGCCTGGGTGGAGGTCTAGGGAAGGGGCTCCAGCCGGGCCGCTCTGGGGAAAGGGATCGGGGTGCCGCCTGCTCCCCCTGCGAGGGGGTGAAGGAGCAGACCCCAAAAGCTCCGCTTCCTGGAAGGGCGGAGCCGCTCCCTCTCCCCCGGAGCCCCAGGAGTAACCCCGAAACCCATGGTCTGACCGCTCCCGCTTCTCTGCCCCAGGGGCCTGCCTGCCCCGGTACCTGGGGCGGCCCAGGCTCGCGCGGACCCGTTCTCGCCTGGGTTTGGCCCGGGACCCCCCAGGTGGCTGCCCTCAAGGCTCCCCAACTGACAGCAGTGCTAGTTCCCCGGAAAGCGCGGCAGGCCTGTGCGGAGGGTACACGCTGGCCCGTGTGGGAGAAGAGGTGGGAAACCACCGAGATGCAGGCGTGCCATCTGGCTGCCCACTGGCCGGCCAGCCACCGGAGGCAGCAGCCTTATTTATTGGCTGTTTGTTTTCCAAGTCAAAGATCCGGCATGGCCCAGATGATTTGTTTTTAAACCTTGGGGACAAGCCTGGCGGCGTCTGGGTACACCAAACCTTCACCTCCTGAATTTATCAGGTGTCTTGCAACACCGCCCACTGAGATGGAGAGACCCGGAGCTAAGTGAGGTGCCACCTTCTCTCCCTGGGCCTTAGGTGGTCAGCTGTGGGAGCCTAAACCTCTGCCCCAGGGAGCGGGGGAGGTTCCAGTCTCTCCGGGGGCAGCTTGCTAGGGGCGCAGGCGGGAGGATTCAGCGCTCCCTCCCCACGACAGGAGGCGCTGTGAGGCGGCCGCGCCTCGGGTCTCCGGGTCTGCGGGTGGAGGAACCCCCCACCAGGATCAAGGCTCTGAAGCCGACCCACTCTTTACCACCGTCCTGGTCTTTGAGGAAGCGCAGGAGAAACTTCCCTAGGGCCATCCCGCTGTGAACAAGGGGCTTCATTCTTTTTCTATTTTGAGATGAGGCCTAGTGGGGCTAAAAGAGGACAAGCACTTGCTTTCATTGGCCCCCTTTACAGGGAGAGCAGCTTTGCCCCCTGAAAGCACCAGTTTCTCGCACGCCCGGAAGGCTGTTCCTAAGCTGTCAGTGCCCACAGAAAACTGTCCTGGGCCTGCCAGGAGGGCGTCGGAGTATCACCGCGGGAGGAACAAGGAAGCTCATTAGCACTGAAAACCCCCCACCCCCTCCCCCGTCCCCCCTGCACCACCCACCGCTCCAATCAGGCCGAGGAAGCGAAGAAGCGTCCGTGTTCTTGCTGACCAGGAAATTTGCTGACGGGAAATGTGTGCAGACCCCGCCGTTCTAACACACTTACACCCAGGCTGCATTTGGGGAGGGCTCCTGCTCTCACTCCTTTTCTTACACTGTGAGGTATCCTCTCCCCCCCCCTCCCGTTTTTTTAAGGGGGAATTGTAATCCAGTGCTTTTATCTTTTTTTAATTTCTTAACTGCACATCTTCACCCTCTCTGGCTCCCCTGCTGATTTGAGAGATTTGTTTGGTTCAGGGATTTAATGTGATCCTGATGCCAGATTTTAAGGAAGAAAGATTAAAAAGAACAAAAGGGGGCGGGGGGGATGTGGGGATCGATTTGGAAGACAAGTTAAAACACACTTCTCAAAAATGAGATTATGACATTTTTCAAACTTCTCCAAACAAGAATATTTTGAGGATTCTTGGTCATCTCATTGCTTCTTAAAGAAACCAGTGCTTCTACAGACACACTCAGAAACACACGGTCACATTTAAAATACACACACACTCACAAACTCACTCCTGCACCATCACGCAAACCTACGGTATCACCCATGGAGCGCCCACTTCCAGTCCCTTCAGTTGGTACTCCTCAGGACGTGTGGCCAACCCATTTCCCAGGGCCTCCTAGGAGTTAAGAGACTGTGCTCCGGAAAGAGAACTTCCCACAGGTGCCCGGACCGACTGGGAGCCCAGTGAGAGCCCGGGGTCCTAGCCCGGCCCCCCCCAAGCCGCAGATGGGACCGGAGACCACCGCGGGCTCCGGCCGGCACCCCTCCAGCCCAGCAGTGGCATTCCCGCGCCGGCGCCCAGGCTCGCCCAGCCAGGGCGCTGCCTTAGGGCGCTGTCCCCTCCCCCTGACCTTTCCCTATCAGAAACCCGACCGTCGCCTCCACCTCAGTCCCCAGGGCTGCGGGAGGGGGTGGGAGGAGGAGCTGGGCAAGAGGGAGGACAGCCCGGCTCAGATCCGCCTGCCCTATCGCGCAGACTTCTGCTCTCAGTCTCTTCCTCTTTATGACTGCTGCAGATGACTGGGGGAGCAGAGAGGAGCGAGGCAGGGGGGAAAGTTATGTCATAAAGGTATAAAACGGTGCTGTGACTCACCCGCTCTCCGCCGCAGGGACGGCTATCGTGGCAGCGCCTCCGCTCGGCTAGCCCGGAGCCCGGCCGGCCTAACGTCACTGGGCTCCGCTGACTCAGATGGCCGAGTTTCTAGGGACCAGGCACAGTGGGACTTTTTTTTTTTTTTTTTTTTTTTCCTTTTTCCAGCCTGGAGTCCGGAGGGGCGGGAGTGAGGCTGTGCTTTAAGGCAGCAATCAGGAGGGAGGGGGCTGGAAGCGGGCAGGGGAGCAGGAGGGGCGCGGGACGCGGTGCCGCCCGGCCACCCCAAAGGCTGTAGGTGCCCGGGGAGAGGCCCTGGGCCACTGGGCCAGCTCTGCCCCTCGGGCCCGGGCTCCGGCGCCGCTGCCCCAGCTCCTCCCCGGCTGCGCGGGTCCCCTCGGGAACCCTCGCTCGCGGGCCCGCCCGCCCAGGCTATTTTTCTTTTTTCCTCTTCCAAAGGGGGTTACACCCCACCCCCACACCATTTCCCTCTCCTCCCTCCCCTTCCCGCCCCCCCCCCCCCCCCCCAGTCTCCGGGCTTAAACCAATTACGCTGCTTTGCAAACAAAGTGCGGGCCGGGTCTGGGGGAGGGGGCCGGCGGGGGAGGGGGCCCCGGGGTGGGGCGCGAGGCGGCCGGGCTGGCGGGCGGCGGCGGCCCCGCAGGTGCACCCGGGCTTTGTAGGTGCGAGCGCCTTTGTGCGGCGGACAAATGGGGAGAGGACGAGGAGGTGGGCACTCGAGCGACGTAAGCTCCACATCAGCGCAACGGCACTCGCCCCACAGCGGCCGCCCGCTCACTTCCCGCGGAGGCGCTCCCGGGCGCCGCGCTCCGCGGCCGCCTCCCGCCCCCGCCCGCCCCGCCGCCGCGCCCCGCAGCGCCCCGCTCCCTCCCCGCTAGGGCGGCGCTGGCCCGGCGCGGGCGCTCGGTGCCGCCAGCGCGGGCTCCCCGCTCCCGCTCCCGCCTCGCCCCTCGCGGCCGCCTGTCGCCGTGCGGGGCTGCATGGTTGCATCGGGGACGGCGACTCCAGGATGTTAGGGACTGTGAAGATGGAAGGGCATGAGAGCAGCGACTGGAACAGCTACTACGCGGACACCCAGGAGGTGAGAGTCGGGCAGTCGGCGGGACAGTCTGGGGCCCGTGCCCGGGTAGGCCAGGCGAGGCGGACGGGACGCCGGGCCGGGCCGGGTGGCCGGCGGGCTGGGGACGCTCCTCGGTGCCCCCGCGGCCCGCCGCCCACAAGGGGTGGCCCCGGCCGGACCTTGGCCGGGCCTCGGTGCTAAACCCACTGCCCCTCGAGGGCGGCCGGGACACGGCGCGGGGCGCTGGGGACTGGAGAAAGGATTTCAGGGTATTCTGGGCTTTGAAGGCACCCGCCCTGGAAGCTTTTTCACTTCCGCGTGGAGAGCCCGAGCCCGAGCCGGAGCCGGAGCCGGAGCCGGAGCCGGAGCGGCCCCAGGTGCCGCGGCTGGCGGGTGGGCGCTGGCAGGAGTTGGAGGCCGCTCTGGCAAAGCCGTCATTTGCCTCCAAGGGCGGCCCCTTCCTCGCGCAGTTGAATTCGCAGATGAGAGCTCGTTGCCGCTAAGTTGAGCGACTTAATAAGTAACCGATTCCAAAATTTTATAAAACTTCTTCTAAGCTCTGTTTGAGAAGCGTGTTCGTTCTTCTCCAGAACCGCTGGGTGGCGCTGGTGCAAGAGGACTTTTCCTCCAGGGGAACCTGTTTCTCTTCATTGTCCCCATGGTGGCAGGCTCAGTTAGTTTACTATTTTACAGTGTGCACAAAGGGATTGCGAGGAAAATCGGGTACTTGCAGGGCCACCGCCAGTAAATTTATCTAGAAACAAATGAGGATTGCCTCTCAAAAAGTTTATCATTATTGAAACTGCCTTGGACAATTACGGGGAGAGGAAAAGGGAAAAAAAGTGAAACACAGTTTAAGACATATAGATAGGAAACTATGGCATCAGGAAATATTGCCATGGTAATGAATTGATTTGGATTTGTATATCTTCACAAACTTAACTTGAGTTTACTTGCAAATACCATAGCAGAGTGTGCCCAATTAAATCTGTTGGCCTTTTATTTTAAAATAAAGTAATATTTCCTGAGGAAAACAAATTTAAGAATATCGTTATTTTTATTAAATAGTCAGAGAAGTAGCTGTTATATGTCTGGACTCTGTATTTTTAACATATCTACTGCATTCCAAAATTTCTGTGGGTAAGGGTTTTATCCTACTGGTGATTTTTAAAAGGGGCTTAGTACTCTTTCCTCAGGTTTAATTCAGATTCAGTCATCTCAACCCACTAGTTTATTAAGCCCTCTGTGAAAAAGGGGTTCCTTACAGGTTAACGCTGAGATTTTGGGAAGTAAAAAATAAGTAGACTTTGATTTTGGAATTTTAAAGAATTTGAAAACCATTAGCCAGGGTTTGAAATCATCAGCAGCAACCTGTCAATATGTGAAAAAAAATAGATGATTATTTCAACAAATCGTGTCTCAACATTTTCTTAAGGGGCTGGAAATATGTAATGAAATTAGTGCACATTTTTGAAAGGTTTAAAGAAGTGTATATGTAGTCATGTTACAGTTAACTGCATTGCTATTATCATGCAACCCTTCCCGACTCTTCTATTGTAGGTCTATTTTATATATTTTTTCCCCAAACCTATTAAACCTGTGAGTTTCTCTCAATATTACAGTTGCTACAGGTAGATGGAAAATACTACTTCTAAATATAATAAACGAAAAGTCGCCATTTGACAAAAACTGCTAAGACAGTAAAGCCAGCTGAGGAATGGATAGTCATACGGCTATGAACGCTTTCTTCTCTCTAAGAGAGTTTAATTAACAGCCACCCCACAGACACACGGCTGCTGTTTGGTCAGCCAGCCGGGCAGGTGCAGGTGGGATGGGTGCTGAGTTGTCGCCCTGTTGCCAACCCACAGCACTCCAAAGGTGGAGTGAATAATCGGAAGGTCAGAGATTAATTCTGCTTTCGGAGTTTTAACTCCTTTTAACCGAAGGGCACTTTCTTTGCGGAGGCCTCCTGGCTGGAAGGAAGAGGAGATGGAGAGACCCCAGAAGCCAGCCCCGGAGTCTGGAGTGTAAGGGAATTCATTGCACATTTTCCTGGGGACGTTTGCTGTGCGCTTGTCTTGCATGCCTGCCACGCTAGGATTTCCTCCCTACCGTGCCAGACCTGGGCTCCTTCTGGGGAGCGCGCCTCCGGTTTGCCCCGGCAAGGGCTCCTGTGCCCTCCTCTCGCCTCGGCGTTCGCGCCCAGCTAACCCTGCCCCTTCGGGGCCTCTTGGCCCCGCTTTCTCCCCTCCAGGCCTACTCCTCCGTCCCGGTCAGCAACATGAACTCGGGCCTGGGCTCCATGAACTCCATGAACACCTACATGACCATGAACACCATGACCACGAGCGGCAACATGACCCCGGCGGCGGCTTCCTTCAACATGTCCTACGCCAACCCGGGCCTGGGCGCCGGCCTGAGCCCCGGCGCGGTGGCCGGCATGCCCGGGGGCTCCGCGGGCGCCATGAACAGCATGACGGCGGCGGGCGTGACGGCCATGGGCACGGCGCTGAGCCCGGGGGGCATGGGCGGCATGGGCGCGCAGCCCGCCGCCCCCATGAACGGCCTGGGCCCCTACGCCGCGGCCATGAACCCCTGCATGAGCCCCATGGCCTACGCGCCCTCCGGCCTGGGCCGCAGCCGGGCCGCGGGCGGCGGCGACGCCAAGACCTTCAAGCGCAGCTACCCGCACGCCAAGCCGCCCTACTCCTACATCTCGCTCATCACCATGGCCATCCAGCAGGCGCCCAGCAAGATGCTCACGCTGAGCGAGATCTACCAGTGGATCATGGACCTCTTCCCCTACTACCGGCAGAACCAGCAGCGCTGGCAGAACTCCATCCGCCACTCGCTGTCCTTCAACGACTGCTTCGTCAAGGTGGCGCGCTCCCCGGACAAGCCGGGCAAGGGCTCCTACTGGACGCTGCACCCCGACTCCGGCAACATGTTCGAGAACGGCTGCTACCTGCGCCGCCAGAAGCGCTTCAAGTGCGAGAAGCAGCCCGGGGCCGGGGGCGGCGGGAGCGGGGGCGGCGGGGGCGCCAAGGGCGGCCCCCCCGAGAGCCGAAAGGACCCCTCGGCCTCGGCCAACGGCAGCGGCGACTCACCCCTGCACCGAGGGGGGGTCCACGTGAAGGCCGGCCAGCTAGAGGGCGCGCCGGCCCCGGGGCCCACTGCCAGCCCCCAGACTCTGGACCAGACGGCGACAGGGGGCGCCTCGGAGTTGAAGACTCCGGCCTCGGCAGCTGCGCCCCCCATCAGCTCCGGGCCTGGGGCTCTGGTATCTGTGCCCCCCTCGCACCCAGTGCACGGTCTGGCGCCCCACGAGTCCCAGCTCCACCTGAAAGGGGACCCCCACTACTCCTTCAACCACCCCTTCTCCATCAACAACCTCATGTCCTCGGATCAGCAGCACAAGCTGGACTTCAAAGCCTACGAGCAGGCGATACAGTACTCGCCCTACGGCGCCTCGTTGCCCGCCAGCCTGCAGCTGGGCAGCGCCTCGGTGGCCGCCAGGAGCCCCATTGAGCCCTCAGCCCTGGAGCCGGCCTACTACCAAGGTGTGTATTCCAGACCTGTCCTAAATACTTCCTAGCTGTCCTAGACCAGGGGTTGGTTTGTCCTGGCCATGCTGGTAGCAGGAGAGGGGGGAAACAGCAGCAAACAGAAACACATACCAAGCTGACGACAGCATCATAAAGTACCAACTATTTTCATTTCTCTTTTTGTGTGTGTGCACACAATCTTTTTCCCAGTGCAAAGGACTGTTACCTTGTTGTTATTCAAAAGCCTGTGTATATCAGTAGGAAGAAAACCATCCCCAAACCAACATACATTTTCCCTGCAAAGTTTAATGATCCACAAGTGTATATATCAAATGTTCCTACTTCCTCATCCCTTTCTTTCCTCTTTCCCATCCAGACACATTCTAGTGTGTGCAGGCTTTATTTAAAAAGAAGAAGAAAGATGGTCAAGCTTGTAAAATATTTGTTTGTACCTTTTTCCCTCTTTACCTGGCCCCTGCCCCCCCCCAACACACACACACACACACACACACACACACACACACACACACACACAAGTTTACAGGTCTATGGCAATACTCTTCACCACAAGAACTCAGAGTGAGGAAACAAGTATTGAAGGACAATACTGCTGTTATGTAGCAAAACATAAACAGGTTATAAACATCAGAGCCATTTATTTCTCAGCTTACATTTCTGATCCATTCAGAGAGTAGCTCTCTTAAAGTGAAATACTTAAAATGAAATGCATAAGTATTATGTACCAACATCCATGCTCATGCTCAGATATGTAGGCATCCTCCATGTGTTTACATAACACAGGGAGGTGATAGGTAGGAGGTATACATGCTACAGTTTCAGGAGTTGCCTGACCAAGAAATTACAAACACACCCTTCCTTGTCCTCTCTACCCACAGATCGCGCTGGGAATCAATTCCCCCCAAATCGCCCCTCTCAGTAACTCTGCTCCTTACTTTGCAGAGCGCAATGGTCATGTCATTCTGAGGTCAGATAACATGTATAAAATTAGCTTCTATGTATCTATACCATTTAAAGAATATTTTTCTCCAGAAAAAAAAAAAGGGACTATTACAATGTTCAAGGAGAGATGTTATAGGGAGCCATATTTCAACATTTGGTTCAAGGTTCCAAAATCCAATTGATTGTGGTAATTTTAATTACTGTCATCGTGTGCTTGTTCATTCAGTGTTAATGCACTTTTCACAGTTGGACATGGTGTTAGGGTAGTCAGACGGGTTTCATTATTATCCTTTTCGCTTTCTCAATGTTAATTTATTGCATGGTTTATTCTTTTTTTTCTTTACAGTTGAAATTGCTTTAAATGATGGTTAAAAATACAAATTAAAATGTTAATAATTTTTATCAATGTGATTGTAATTAAAATATTTTGATTTAAATAATGAAAATAAATTTTAAGCCGTGGAACATGTTCTCGATCATTTGCAGTTAAGGACTTTAAATAAATCGAATGTTAACAAAAAAAGTATTTTTGTTATTTTCCTTAATTAAATCCAAAATAGATAATCTGAATATGATATTTTTCAAAGTCTGGCACTGAATGTAAGTGACAAAAAGGAAAATAATCTAAAACAAAATTGTTTTGTTTATGTTTATTATAGGAACATGTAGTTCGTTTTAAAAAAAAAGTTAAAGAAATTCAATAAAACTGAATAGAAAAAAATTGATTTAATATTCCAAGAATTGAGATTAAGTTTCCTTATTTTCAGAAATGTTTATTTCAATTTTTGAGGTGGGCTTAAACCTACTATGTTTCCTTTGAAATTAAATACAGAATGAAATAAATACAATTAACTATCCTTCCCTCTTTCCCAGCATACCATTTTCCTTTATCGGAGAAGTATTTGAATGAAATGTCAGATGTGGCTGTTAAAATTAAGTTGTCTGCAACAGGGAACCCCGGAATCCTCTTACATTAAAAAGAGAAACAAAACTTAACCATCTCGGTAGCTTTGCAGGGGATAAGGAAGGCCAGTTCATTCACTCCTGCAGGGGAAGCTTTGTGCCACAGGGCCATTCCACTCGCTGCTGCTATTTTGTGTTGTGTGAAGATATTTTTAAAATACTGTTCCTAAAAATATTGTTCCAGAGACATTAGTTAAAGCCGATGATTTCTTTGCCTTCTAAGAAGCTTTAAAATGCAACTTCACACCCCTCCAGTGGCTGGAGATCACAAAATCATTAATCTCCTTTGATAGTAGGCTCACTTTCCAGTCCACCTAGTTCTTTGTCAGTCTTGTTAGGATTGACATCAACAATAACAACCCCAGCCCTAGCGGAGGCCTGCCTGCCTGCGGCCTGTGTGTGAACCCCATCGTGGCCAGGGCTTGAACTTGGACAGCTTTCACTTTGATCGCCCCACTCCACACAGAGGACAAGATAAAAAGAGCTGTGTGAGTCCCTTAATTGTCCAGTAATTGCCTCCCCGGATGAGAGAAGGGGTGCCATGTGGCACTTGAGAAAAATCCAGAAATCCCCAAACCCCGCTCTCACCTCAGCTAATGAAAGGAGGAGAGGGAAATGACTCGGTTGAGTCATTTCAAAATCTAATTTGGAGGCCTGGGAAGGACACGGAAGGTCCAAAGAGGATCAAGCCTCCAATCCCAACAGTTATTTATATTTAGATAGCGGGTAAACAGGCGTTGGCAGATTTGAATTCCGATTGTAATATTGGCCTCGGAGTTTTATCCGGCCACACCGAATCTAAATCGTTTTTGCGAGCGCTCCCCTCCGCCTGGTCCTCGGCCCCCACACCTCCCTCTCTCTAGGGTCCAGGATCTAGTTCTGCCCGCGCCCGCCGGCGGTCAGCGGCCTTGGCCCTCGCCCCCTCCCGGGCGGGAACTTTGTATGGGTTCGGGGCGAGAGCCCCGGGCTTCGGGCGCACAGCCACTTTGGAGGACTGCCTGATGCTGGGATGGCGGATCTCGCCTGGGGGGCTTCTCCCTGGGCTCTGGGCCACCCCTGGGAGTAACCCCTCTCCGGGCACCTCCTGCCCGCCCATCCCGCCGCCTCCGGGCGCCTCCGTCGGTCCCGGCGCGGGCGGCGGTTGCCGGGAATGAGGACCGAGCTGGACCACAAGCATCTGGAGGTGACAAGTGCAGTTAGTCCCTCATTGTGTGGGCATTTCCCCTCCCGGCGAATAAATCTGTTGAGCCCAAGACTTAAAAGTCAACAAAGAAGGCCGGGCTGGTCGCGAAGGCTCCGGCGGCCCCGGCGCCCGCGTCTCCCGCTGCGTAATCCGGTCCCGGAGCGGGCACACCGCGGCGGGCGCCGGCCGGGCCGCCCGGGGCCGGGGGAGCGGCTGTGGCTCCGGGGGTGCCGGGACCCTCCTCGGGCGCACCGCCTTCCCGCGACCTGCTCCCCCCTGCTCCCCTTTCCGTGGAGCTTGAGTGTTTTGCATCAAGGATGCGCCCGCAGACCAGGGCCGAAAAGGGGGTGCGGAGCGCACAGCAGCGGGGCCCCGGGCTCGCTTTATTTAGGAATTGCGCCCGCGGTGGGGGAGGGGTACAGGGGAGGCGGGAGGGGGAGCGAGGGAGAAGGAAAATCCTTGCAACACACCCAAGTGCAAAAAGCTCCGGAGGCCCTCAGATCCGCTGACAAAGCTGCGGAGCAAACACATAGAAAAAAAGAAAAAGAGAAATGTTTTAGGAGTGAGTATAGTGCCTGGAAGGAAACTTCAAATGTTACTTTCACCTTGTTCCAGGCCTGAAACATTGTTTTTAATTGATAAAAAACGAAAAGACAACTACATAGAGCCAGGGGGGTGGGAGGGGGGAAGTTCACTAGCTCTATTCAGCAGAAACTACACAACTTAGAAGAGTTTCCAAATAGAAGGCAGCTCAGTCTGTTTTCTACGTTATGGCAAATACAGTGTTTAAATCAAGGATGGAATTTAACTTACATTGTCCTTCATGGCCCCCCCATAGCAGAATGGACTGCTGAGAATTATTATCGGAGGAAGGATTAAACAAACAAAATCCTATTAAAGTTCTTAACTTCTGTTTTCATTTTCTGCTGGCCAGATATCCAACTGATTTCACTGAAAGTAGAGAAACACGGCGTTTTTACGGGACTCTTAACAGATTTGAATGACCCACAGCACAAAAGTAATTTTGGAGCGACAAAATTTTACCTCGTTGTTTTGGCACTTTTAAAAGTTGATCTCAATTCCACAAAAATGCTTATTAAATTTCTTTATAAAAACATCTCCAATCAATACAAATTCCATTCAATGCAGGCTAAAGTAGGAGACCTGTAGCCTAAATTAATTAACCTTTCCTCAAGATCAATTGGTTTTCTGTTGATTTAGAAGTAATATTGTAGAACATTTAGCCATAATGTATTTTAATGTCATACCTCAATATGTCAAGAGGAAGAATTTGTTGAAAAGGTAAAAGTTATTCATTAGATGCCTACTAAATTTGTAACAAAATATTTTACCTTTATAATTAATTTTAATTGTTTATTGTATTGTAGTTAAATGTGTTTTGTAACTAAAAGTAGTTAAGATAATGTTTAATAACCTAAAGATAATTATGTGCAAACAGGTGATTATTTGTAGGCTATCTTGGACTAACTATGTAATTACATTGTGCTAAAATTTAGAAATAAGGTTTTTTTTCCCCACGTGGTAAGAATCATTTGCATCAATGGAAACTCACAAGAGTAAGACCGTAATAAAATTAAACAACTTGTAGGATATTACAATCTTCCTATTTAGAAATAGAATGCATTGAGGAGATACAAGTTTTTCTTAAAGTAGCCATTTATGCAAATTTTATTTTCTACAGGTGATTCTATTTGTTTTATTCAAATAATACTTAATACCAGATTACTTTAAATATTGTTTTTTCTCCTTCCAGATAGTTAAGTTCGAGGTCACAGTGGTTCCACTGGTGTTTCTCTTTTTAGCTCCCAGGCTGACCTTTGGACAGCTCCGACTGCAGCCCTCACCTTTTCTGTTTTTTTGTTTTGTTTTGTTTTGTTTTTCTCCAGCCATCAAGCCAGCAAGCAGTAGGAGGGATGGGGGTGG